GTGTTTTCATTGAACAACCCACTCCTTTCCTACCTAAATTTTTAGACAGACTGTTGACTCTGGACTACCCCAAGGAGGCTCTCAGTATCTTCATTCATAATAATGTAAGTACAATGTTACATTATGCAAAGCTTCAATTTTGAAAATTATGGTATTAATGAAAATGCATTAGGGAGTATATAGATTCTATATATGTACAGTTAAACTGTGTAGGAAGAGGTAATCTTTCAGAATTTAGTATGCAGAAGTGGAAAAAACACACAAAATAAATTAAATTCTGGCAGTGCTTACCAAAGTAGTAGTTAAAGAAACTACTCAGATTCTTTCTCTTTTACTAGTAAAGCAGATTGTATTTTAAAGTGTATGCTTTGGTGCAAGTACTGATTGACCTAAAACAATAGAGTAGAATAAGAATAGAATAGTACCAGTTGGAAGTGACCTACAGTGATCATCTAGGCCAACTGCCTGACCACTTCAGTACTGACCAAAAGTTCTAGCATTTGCTTTTCATCTTGTTAATACCCTAGTGCATTTATGGTTTCCTTGATGCTTTCTGCTGGGTGCTATGGGAAGACTGGTGTGTCCAGGTATATTTTGAGTAGCAGTACAGATAAGTTACCTTTTTGAATAGTGTTTTGAAAGTTTTTTGCTAATTACCTAATAATGTGATGTTGCTGATACTTCAAAACACTTCAGTATCACTATTTTCAAGAGTGAAGGGACAGATGTGTTCAAGTCTTTTAGGAAAAAAACTAGACTGGAAGAGAAATGGAAGGAAAATATAATTCTGCCCTTTTCCACTTAGCGTGCATTGCTGTTGATACCATAGCACAAAGGCCTGAGTAATAGAAGGAGAGCTTATCTTTAAAGTCTTCAGTGTGCCTTTGTAAGGGGATGTTAAAGGTATAAATTTGATATGCACATAGGAATTTTAGGCTATGCTAGGTTTTGTTGCTTCAGCCAGAAGTCATGGTATTTGCAATGCATATAGAAGACTGAATAGCTTTTTTTAATCGTAGAGGGGGGGAAAACCCTACCCATTATTTTAATTATTCTAATGTCAGCTATAATATGCAAAAGCTACAAATAAGGGCACTGGGTTGGAAGCATTGCATGAAGCTGAGATCTCTTAATTAGAGGTAGGGTAATTAGAAATTAAAGAAACAATCACTGTGACTATGTTTTAGAGACTGTGACTGTCCACCTGGGTACAGATGGAAACTCCCTCTCTAACACCATTCTGGAGTGGCATAAAAAACTCCTGTGTGCCACTGAGGTTGTAGGAGGGGTTTTGAAGGTTGTAAAATAAATATCCTGAAAAAAACATTGCATAAACCCTCTGTGAATCTTGCATCATTTGTTTGGAGGTACAGGTTTGATTTATATTGCTGATGTGTTGAATTCTTTTGCTGAAATTTGGGACAGAAGATCTTCATTTTAATGACAGATATACTGGAATGTCTTCAACTGTTTGCCATCTGTTTGTTTAGGATAGAATACAGTGTGTTCTTGGATGCTATGTTTATGATTTCACAGCAATTTGTACTTTTCATTAACTATAAACAATGTTAACATGATTACAGGAGGTTTACCATGAAAAGCACATCAAGAAATTCTGGGAAAAAGCCAAGAACATTATCAGAAATGTAAAAATTGTTGGACCTGAAGAAAATCTGAGTCAAGCAGAAGCCCGGAACATGGGAATGTAAATTCCAATTTATAAATCTCTTATAGTGATATATACACTAACTTTTTTTCGTCTTTTATGTATATTATTTTACATCTTAAACACTAACAACTTTCCATCTTAAGATACAAAAGTGGGAACTTTGGTGATAGACAAGGTCTAGATATGAGATATGAACTGTTGAGTGTTTTATAGTTTCTATCTAATAATATAAAAAGCTGTTGGTCTTGTGAAAACGTCTCTCTGGTTTGGGCTACTTTGAGTCTGTCATCTTGTCTTTTAATGAAGGCACAGACAATCGTAGACTACAAAAAAGAGGTATCGGATTATTTTTACATTATAGTTATCTCAAATGTGAGCATAAACTGTAAAGTTTAAATATTTTTTTTAATAATCCTATTGAAATAGAAAAGATGGTACAATATAACAAACTTCTTATTAAATTCTGTGCAGAAAATTATATATAGCAGTAATTTAAAAAATAGAAGGTAGAAGCAGATGTAAATGTAAATAGAAATTCTAAATTGCAGTGTATCTTCTAAAACCGTATTTGATTCTATTTTTTGCCTAAAACCTTTTCAAGCTAACTTATCTCAGAGTGATTTCACGGAACAGAAGTATCTCTTGCATTGGTATGCATCATTTAACAATTGCACTTTTGTTGTCCTAATCCATCCTCCTTTTTTTTTTTTTTGCATTACATTTAAGTTAAAATATGGTTAAAGCTTAACCTGGACATACAGGTGACAGAAGTACATTTCTTCTTATGGTTCAAAGAGACAGGAATATTCTTTAGAAATGCTCTAGCAGAAGTTTTTGCTTTCAGGGGAAAAAAAAAAAGGACTTGCAAAGGACACTAACTGACTTTCTTATCCTTGGTCTTGCTTCCCCCCTCCCCTCCCCGCCTTTCCTTCTTTCTAAGGAATCCAACTATATAAAACCTGGCACTTGCTGGGCCTAAATCTGAATCTTGTATCCTGTCTCAGACCTGCTTGTCAAGGGGTCTCTTCAGTGGCTGCACACTGACAATTACCGCAGAGTTGCTTGTGGCTCTCCCGGAATGACCATCAGTCAGATTGTGGAGTTTTACAGACCAGGATCCCACCAAGACCTCACGTGGCCTTTGAGCAGGCTTCAGTCTTGCATAATTTTTCCACTCTCTCTTCTCCCAAATCTTCCATGAGTGTCAGAGCAGAGAAATTATTTTCAAAAGGCCCTTTTCTTTTGTAGTCAGAGGTTAAGAGCATAGCAGAGGCTGTTCATGGCATCAACTGAAAGAATGAAGGACTAGTCCTGAGTCTCCATGGTGTTCTTGGAAATTTGTTTGAATGGGGTTTTCTTGTCTTGAAGCCTCTGGGAAACTGATATTTGGCTTAGATCCAAGCCTCTCCCCTGGCTTTTCTAGTAAACACTACAGATGTTCAGTGGTAGTGTAAGCAGCCATTCACATGTTTATAAATCATTCTTTCTTTCTTTCCAGTAGTCTCTAAAGCAAATGTACTACGTTTGCAAACTTTTTGAAGTAGTTTGTTACGTGTAACAGGTGGAATTTCTGGAGTTGCCTTTTCCTCTTTGTTGTTATGTAGACACCATAAGGCAGAACCTTTAATGTAAACAATTTCTATACTGTTACTGAATCTCACCCAGAGATCTTTAAACCTGTCACCTTTTGATAGAACCTACTGATGGACAATGTGACAGAGGTTTTAATATGATATGGTCTTTGCTTGAGCTCTGAATAAAAAGTAGAAATTCAAATGTATATTTGCACAAAATAATTTCAAATTCTGTTAGGTAAGGCAGGGAGATAATCATACTTGTCATGTGTACCACTGGATAGACTACACTGCGATATGTTATCCATTGTCTGGATTTAATTTGACCCACATTATTTCTACTTTGCAAGACCCCTTTAATAAGGATTCTGGCCTAAAGAGATACATAGTGTACAGAGAGAATGTGAGGTATAATGCATGTGGAATGAGACTGTGCCAAAATACTGAATCATCAAGAAACAATGAGTGTTAGTAGTAGGATCTTTCATGTGACCAATGTAGATATAATTTGATGGCTTCTTTCAATTTGACTGAAGTAGGTTCAGCTCATCAGCTGCTTCCTTTGTACTCATGGTCTGCTTGGCTGCCCTTGTGAACATCACCAACTTCTCTGAACAACTGCATTTTACTTTTCCTCAAAAAAGTCTAGCTTGAAGTATGGGATTTAATGGCAAAGGCAGATACTCTAAAAAATTATTTGCTTTTGACTCTTCAGCTGCATTCCATTGTAATAACCTCATTTGATTCTCACTAATATTGAAATGGGAATAACTTCAAAATGAGTAATTATTCAAGCCTGATTAAAGGCTTGCTTTACAGAGATTGATATATCCAGTCTTCTGATAAATTTTCTCCTGCCTCTATCTGCATTATCGACTGACGGTTTTGTTCCATCTGCTTCAAACGCTTGCTTTCTCTCTTTTTCCAAATTAGCTGATTTTAGTATCTCTCTATTAATTTCCAGTGCATTTAGAATTAATTTGGTCTCCCCACTTGCAAATTTCACACAAAAAGTCTATTGATGTGAAGCAGCAAAACAGGCTTCATTTAATACAGTTCAGTACTTACTTATAGTATTAAAAAAAAAAACCAAAACAACTTCAACATTGAATGTCTGGTTTGTTTTCAGCAGAATACTTTTGAGTAGATAATGCAGTTTCAGCAGTTTTATCCTTACCTCTATTTTTCCCTTTTTGGCTCAGTAAAAAGCAATGATAAATCATAGCAAGGTTCTTAGTAAATGAGACTCTCTTATGTCAATATAGATATGAGAAAATAACACTGTTTCATTTCACCTACAGCCATGCAGCAAACCTCAGACTGCTTTTCCCATTCACATAAGAAAGAATAATTGAAGCATTTACTTTCTTGCTGCTTCTTGATATGGAAAGCCTTTTCCTGTGCTTGTGAAAATTAGATAAGTGTTAGAAAGGACCCAAAATTTTGCAGTCAGCAAAGACTTGTTACAATTCAACAATACTGGCAAACAGGAGTGCACAATTTTCCTTCTCATGGGCTGAAGCAGAATAAAAAGGAAGAAAAATAAAGTAGAATAAAGAGAAGGAAAGTTTAGCTGCATGTTGTCTGGATATTTGCTCTACATATATATCCCTAGAAACCCTAAAAGAGCATTTCCAAAATTTTTTTTTTTTTTTTTTTTTAAACCTTTGTCTACAAGGAGTATATGAGAGTTCTTACAGTTGGTTCTTTTTTTTCTTTAAACTCATTTGTGGTTTTGCCTTGTTTGGAGATGAGATTTCAGCCAACTGTTACAGAACTTGTTATGACAGAAAATGTAAAATAACAATATGAAATATGTTCAAGCAATAACAGAAATTAGGGAAATATGGGAATTTATCTCATTTGCTTCACTGAGGTTATATTTGTAAAAAGCTTATTCTCCATAATCTTTTTTTCCCCCAGTACTTACAGACTTTAGGGTTTCTTTTTTGAGGGATTGGTTTTTTTCTTCCCTCAAAAATATTAGTAATAGAACTAGCTAGGAGTTTTCCTGAAATTTTTTAAAAATGTGATTTACTTCAACTTTTAGTGGGAATATGCACATTTTAATGAATGTTTACATTGAAAGCTTTCAAAAGTTTCAGGAAGAATAAAAGACCAGTATCAGTCAGAGAGTTTGGTGAGAGCTCTTGAGTGAGCTTTGGTGAGCTCACTTGAATTTTGAGCTGAATTTGGGGTCTCCTATGTTCTTATTGAAAGTCAGAAGATCATCTGTCTCTGAGCTCCCACTGATAATTGACAAATGATGACATGGACATAGGAGGGAGGACTCCCTTTCAGTCTGGCTAGTAGGGCAAGTATCTTGGCTGTGGTTAAAAGAAGAGCAGGGATAGCATCTGTGTCTCCCAGATATCAAGTGATTTCTGTTGGAGGCTTAAATTTTCTAGAACTGCTTCTCCTAAACACTTCAGTAGTTTTGTGTTTTAGCCTCAGATGGAGAATGAATGTTTTGAATTTTGAGTGTTGCAGAAGAAAACCAACTTTCCCCACCTGTCTCTGATTTCAGTAGCTTCCAGGTGTGGTAACTGTGATAATGATACTTAAGCCTGAGATACAAAACTAAATATTAGTGCTTTATGTGTTTTGTGGCTACATTTGTTTGGTTTTAGTGATGGGTGATAAGAGTTTCTTTATACTGTTGTGACTATCTGGAGAGATATAAAATGTAATCCTAAATGGTAACCCAGGCTTTCAGAGAGTGTTGTTGACTTGCATCTGGGGTGCATTTTCTTTCAGATGTCTGTAAAATGGTGTAAGTGCTCTCCCTTTGGGCTTGCAGTTCACATTTGGAATTGTATTTCTAAACTGTGAGGGGTATAAAAATGATATATTGATTAGTTGCAAATTCAGACTATGTCTGAAAAAAACATAACTCATTGATAAAGAAATTGGGTAGACTATATGTCTTACCACTATAAACAAGAGAGAGGAGCAGTGACACTTTTCCTTTTCATATGAGGTCACTATTCCAGATGGGCTCATGGTTTGTAAGCAAGGTTAAAATATCGCTCTGATTGCAAAATACTGTAAACTGATCTGCTGAGCTTCACTTTCCACTTCCGACAAAAAATCTCAGCCTTTTACTAAATTTTTCTTAATCGTTACACTGAAATGGCTTTGTTATGTACAAAAATACAGCTTTCTTTTCAGTATTTGATCTTAGTTTATAAGCACATCGAGTGTAAAGCAAGTAGATTAAAGGTTTTAGCCATTGAATTTAGATTAGGAGGTATATTACAATACATACGAGTATTGCTAGAAAGCACTTTCCACTTGTTCCTTGCTGCATCCTGGATATACATAAAAAATAGTTTCACTTATAATCTGGTATTTCTACATCTGGAGAGGTTAGTGTATGCTGTAAGAAGGCAATACTTTGAAGCAAGGAAATATCCAGGATTACTTTACCTTCGGAAAGCTACTTGGCAATATTGAAAGCCTAAAGAGAAGCATGAATTTCTTAAGAGTAGGCTTACTTTATTAATTTGATAGAAACTTTTGCAACCCTCTTTTTGTATATCTGAAACTGGAAGTGTTTTGTGGAGATTTTTCTTAGTGACCTTAAAGTGCAAAGGCAAAGCTTGTATGTCACATTTGACATGGTGACTTGTATCTGTCTGAAACATACAAATATATGTTTATAGTGGAATGTGTCTTCTGCTTGGTTTAAACTTTCTCTTGAAGGTGTGAGAATCTATGCAAATAACTTATTTTGGTAAAAATAGCTCATAGGACAAATTCAATTCATTTGTCTGATTTCCATTCACTGCCTGTGCAATTGTTTTATGTTTCTCTTTACCAACTGTGTTATTCATGTAGATCAAAAAAAGACTAAGAAAAGTCTTTAAATATATATTTCTTTATGCTTTTTGTCTTACATGCTCCATAAGGGTTTTAAATCAATATTTTTTGTTTTTAAATCTTTAGTTTATCACACCTTTTTTTTTTTTTTTTTTTTTTTTTTTTTTTTTTTCCGTACTACAATGTAGAGGGCTTTTAATGCAGTGTGTGAGAAGAGCTCTTGATCGCAGTTTGGGCTTTTTGTTTTGTTGTTTGTGAATGTTTTCTGGACATGTATAAGTTGACCATTCCTTTTTGTCTTTTTAGGGACCTTTGTCGCCAGGATAAAACATGTGAATATTACTTCAGCATAGATGCAGATGTTGTGCTGACAAACCCGAAAACTTTAAGACTACTGATAGAACAGAACAGGTGTAGTATATCTCTTGATTTTACAGAATTTCCTTCAACTGAAGGGATTCTCTGAGGCCCATACAGAGAAAATAAGATCCTTCCTGTCAAGCAACAATTCCTAGTGTAAATTTCAAACACTTCAAAGTTCCTCTGAAGAGAATGGTATGGTGTAAGCAGGTTTCATGAAATTAAGATTTCACTGACTAATGATTTCAAAGTTGGTCACACACAAAATGTTGAAAAAAGTCGACCCCAAGCAACAACAAAAAACCCAAAACAAAGCCAAACAAAAACTCCCTAGAGTTTATTATTGTAGTATTGCAGTATTATTACTTACTTTTTAAATCATAGATGCAATAAAATAGTGGAAAGGTATTGGCGATGAAGCAGCTGTAATGATCAGTTTCTCCTTTTAATAGTACGATCTCTTAAGTTATGCAAAGCTGTGATTTTATCAGCAGCAGCTTTCAGTAGACTGGGCCTGCTATGAACGTTGTGCACTTCAGTCCTG